TTCCCTGCGGTGCAGACCAAATACAACACCGGGTGACTTCTTTACTTTCTCCTTTTCCAGAACATTCTTATGAGCAACAACTGGTAGTATCCTCAGACCCAAACGTGACTTGGTCCGTCGACGTCCTGCAGACCTCAGAGCGGCAGTGGTGACAAAATTGATGGTAGTGATGGCAGTACCAACTCGGCTTTCTAGACGAAATCTGATGGGAATGCAAGCTAACAAAACTTCAGCTGATCTTTGAGATTGTCTGACAGATCTAACATCCTTCAAAATTTCTTTTTTCATTCGCGGGGTTACCGCGCATCTCACCTGTTTAAGTAACTCAACAACTGCACATCCTTCTTTGACAACCAATTTCTGAAATGCTGTACGAACTTTGGTGATAGAAATTGGTTTCTCACTCTCCTCATCACGACCATGAAGTAATGGTAAAGTAGAAACAATCTTCTGAATACTTTCATACCCATTAATACCCTTCATTAAAGTCCAATATCACAAAATTTAAGCATCAAATGAATAAATAAAATTGCACATTATTTTGTTACATCAGCCTTTTCTAGTCAGCCCTCATTAGTTGGTCTTCTCTAATCGACCCACTACACTCAGCCAAGGAGAAATGTGATCAGACAAAGTGCACAGATGATATATATGAGCCATGGTATCTCTGACACAATATCATCTAAATGTAATTATTACTTATGCATATTTTATGATAAAATGCTTCTATATAAAGGGAGAAGATGGAATGTGAAGGGAGACCTTTTCCTCTACCCCGAGACAATTATTAAAAAAGTTATTGCTCCATTTTATCTCTCTCTCTCTCTCCTTTACTCTCTATTCCTTTTGTACGATTCACGAGTAAATCTGAATTCAACACATCTATAAAAATAATAGATCTTGAATACTTGCAATTAACTATGCCTTAATATAATGAAGTAACCCTCTATTCATAATCAATGAATGATTTTTTAATATTTTTCTACTGTATTGAAGTTGAAAATTTTTTAGCAATAATAGCTCTAAGTAATTGATATTAAAAATCGAGACTTTCCTCTTAAGTTATTATTTAATTGCGAGTAGTCATTCCTTTTTACGTTGATATATATAATTTTTGAGGATGGAATTAAGAAGTATTTAGATTCAAGTTGTTAATTTGTGATTAAAATTTTATTACAAAAATATGGATCAACCTAAGGGAAAAAAGAGAAGAAAGATAATAATTGAAATTTTATTATAATAAATAAGGAAGGCCTAACTGATGTGAGGATAATGTCTTAATGCTCAAGCGTCATCCCTAGTGCTATAGAGCTTTGCTATAGTAATTTTGCTACTATAACTTTATTATAATAATTTTTTATAGTAATTTTGTCGTTCTCTTTCCAGCTTGTTGTTCTGTAAGTTTCTGCATACAACTAAACAAAAATATCATAAAAAGGATAAAATAACTTAACATTTATATATGCAAAAACACATTACAATTATTGCATACTTTTAACATTTAACACCTAATCCATGCACAACCTTAGTTTAGTTAGTTCTATTGAATCTTGGATGAACTAAAATATAATTCTTTAATGATGAACCAAATTACTAATAGTTTAAATAGCATGTATTAGAAAGAATACTAATTAATCTTTGTTAAAATTTATAGTTTTGGTTAATTTGTGAAACAAACAATATCTATGCTAATAATCATGTCCATGTCAAGTATTTATTGACATGAATTTATAACTTTACTATTTTATGAAATTAATATTATTTAATTTTTATTATATCAATTTTATAGAATTAAACTAATTACCAACAAGAAAAAAGTCAAAATTATAATTACTATAAAAATGATACTTTAATAACCAAAACCAGATCAACCAAAGAATATTGGTTTGAATCAATTTTTTTTTTTATCTAAACAATTCACACCCAAGTTTTCATTCATAAGTTAAGAGATGTCTTGTCAATTATTCCTTTGAGTAACTAACTTTAGTTTAGGATAACTTACCAATACTTGTTAAAAGTAATAATATGACTTAAATGACTTGGTCCATGAGGTATTGGGTGTACATTATTTCTCTTATCCTCATAAATATTTCAGGCGATTGAGTTGAATATGATAATTAAGTAACTTCCACAGTACAATATTGATGATTTTAAACTCGACCTATTTTGTATTCTTCTCTTAATTTCACATATGATAAGCACGTTGACTATTTCAAGCCTATAATATCCCCTAATTTCTCTATGAAGATTTTGAATATTTTTTATATATTTTCTTATATAATATTTAGAGCATCAACAAGAATAATAAAAAAAAAATTTTGCAATGTTATTAGGTTTAAAGAATGAGAAAGGCAAAAATATGTTGGTGAACCATTTTTCTTTTTTGCAATAAGAAAAGATTAACTTTGAACCACATAAAAATCCAAAAAAAAAAAATGATTGAGCTTGCCAGAAAAAGAAAAAAGAAAATTAAATGGCCAAAGTCAATGATCTTTTGCAGCGAACAATTTAGAAAACATATTAATTGCAGCTCCTCCTTACCAAGATTTTCTTGAATCGAATTGATGAAAAAAATTTCTAAGTGATACCACAACTGCTTCGAGAAATGCTCCTCACTATAAGTAAATTACTGACTACTTGAAATTATTTGTTTTACAAAGGTTTGAAGTTGCTACTAGTTCAATGGAAGAAAATAAGGAAGCCAACTATAAGGAGTCAAACAAGAAACAACAAGATCAAATTAATACTAAAAATTTTGTTGAAACACCATGTTCAAAATTGTCTAGTGTTGAGCCAATTAGTTAAATTATAGTGAATAAATTTGAGAATTTACTCAAGGATTAAACATTAATGAAAAGAATAGTACTTAATCTTTATGCTTGTTTTAAGCTCGAGAATGCAAAGATTGTTAATAGAATTTCTTAGCTTCATATTTTGGGAGGGGCCAATAAGATTAAGAGCTTAGAGGAAAAGTTTAATGATATTATTTGAAAAAATTACCCAAATGTAATAATATGTATTGATTTAATGAAAAAATATACATGTAGTTTCAATTTTCTTTTATTATCCTGACTAACCAATTACCAAAACATATTTTTTTGTGATAGAAATTTTATTTAATATATCCTATTTGAGCAACCTTATCTTGATTTGATGGATTGAAAATTTTCATTTAAAATAGAAATTTACTAGTATAAAATTCTAACATTAAAATAAATTTTATAAAAAATAAGCAAACATATAGTACATTTTGATTAAGCTTAGGCAAGTGATGATATGGTTGATCAGATTGTTTCAAATAGACTGGCTTAAGCCCACCATGATTCGATAATTGAGCTTCTCTCTTAAAGCTTTAATTTTATTTTTCAATTTGGCTTCAGACAAACCACTTAGCTTAAGAATTATTATTATATGAACTTTTCTTTGCTATATTTTAGTTCAAAAGAGTAATCCACTTGCATTAGGTGGGGTTGTATTTTTAATTCGGGGAAAAAATTAGCCTGAAGCCGATTTTTTTATGGACCATATCAGGTTGGTTTCTTTGGCCCGTAATTACATGTATTTGTAATGGAAATTTTTTTATTATCACTATTATTTTATTAATTTATGATTTAAATTTTAATTGTATAAATTATTTCTCTTTAAAACAATAATTGGAAGACAATCGCCATCATACCCAATCAATACATTTGAAACTAGTGATAGAGTCCATCAGTTGTTGCAGAAGTTAGATCATAACTTACCATGACATTGTGGTTGGCCATGCAATTGTGATGACAATATGACTGGTATCCAAGATCTCAATGCTAAAGCAAAAAAGTTTTCAAAGCATAAGTACAAATATTAGGATCATTACTCTTTACTATAAGCTAATTTTGTAATAATAATAATAATAATGCCATTCTTATTTAAGATATATTTATCTTTTTGGTTGCTTGATTTCTACTATTTTAGTCATATTTGGTCCTCTAAAGTATAATATGTGTGAAAGAATGCCATTCTATTCCTCATATTTAAATCAATTTACATATTATCTTCTATCATGTCTATTTAATTTAAACATAATATAAAATTAATATGTATATTATTGATGTTCTATATGTTATGAAAATATTGATGGTTTTTTTAAAAAATATAATTTAAATAAATATATGATATTCTACCACATTGTTACCAAAAAAAATAATAAAAAATTCAAAATTAAAATAGTTCGACTATCATTGTGTTTGAGCCCTATGTGAGTGTGAGACATTCAAATTTAGAAGTTTATAACAAAATTTGTTAAAAATTATTTAAATAATGCTAAAGTATTAAAAAATAATTTTATTGGATCAGATAAAAGGTATGTGACAAATATATCACCAAGCTAAACACATAAAAAAAAAAAATCATGGAAAATGATAAGATATACTCTAGCAATTATCTTATGGGGTAACAATTAAATTGGGCATTGAATCACATAATGGTTATTCATGTGCAAAATATTTTAAATTCATAAAAATATAATGCATTATTTTTTGAATATTTCTCACAAATAAGTGCTCTTTTTTAATTAATTATATTACATTAATTTTCTTAAATTTATGTTTTACATTTATTTTTTTATTACAATAACATGATGAAAATAATTTTAATGTTTCCAAATAAATCAAAAGACCTTTGTTTTACTTGATTTCTAACTATTTTTGGTTACATTTTAAATTTAGAATTTTTATATATTAGAGATTTAAAATTTTGAAAGAGAGTAAAATCATCTTAACCAACATTTGAAATTTTAAAGTTTTTAGATGAGATATTATTATTTAATTTCTTATTTCTTCAATGGCACAAAAAATGCAAATAACAGCTGTTACATTTACTTTGTTTTCTTAAATCTATGTCATATTATGGATTGAAATAAGATCATAACCATCTAATATTTTTAAGAAATTACTGCCCTTCGCTTTAAAATTAGTTCTCCAAATTTCTTAGAACATCCTCTTCCCCTTTTTAACTGCTGCCAGGGCCTCTGCTTTCTTTCTTGCTTGGGAAGCCTTCTTCCCTTCAAAACCCCGCCACAAAATAGGTTTCTTAGTGCATTGGATGCTAAAACCCCCGAAGCCCTCGTCGCTTGGGTTTCTCCTGAAACGTGAAATTACAGCTTGGAAGGCGCTTGGTCCATTCCATGGGGAAAAGGAAGCCGGTGGTCGTCCTTTCCTCATCGGAAGACGACACGGTCCGAACCCGCTCCACCGGCCGAGATCGAGCTACTTGCATATCCAGCTCGAAGCCTTTGTCGGCCGCGCGGAAGAAGAGTCGCGGTGGAAGATCAATAAGTGGCTCGGACAGAGGCTCTGAAGGTTTGCTTTCTCGTGAAGTAGAGGCGGTATGTTTGAGGTGTCGATCATCTATGAAGTCTTCTCGTTTCACTACATTTGATGCTGTGTATTTTAGATTTTCTTTTCCTTTTAGAGAGTATGAACTAGGGCCATTTTGTTTCCGGTTAAAGAACAAGTTCGCCACACTTTCGGAGGATTTTTGCGACTGTCTCCAGGATTTCCACTTTACGAGAGGTAAGCTTTTTTATATTCACAATGTGTTTTTTTTTGTGTATTTGGGCTTTCTAAAAACAGTTTTCTAATATATATATTTTAGTTTTACTAGTTGTAGTAGTCTGACCGTTACTTTTCTCAGGGGAAAATCTTCTTGGGACACTGCAAATTTGTGTTTTATATGGTTTGGATACGGTTAATTTAATGACTTTTTCATGCACATAGTATATGTATGTTGGATATGCAATCATTGGCACTACAGTTTGTAAATGTGCTGCATAGCTTTATGCTTTGCATATCGAAGCAAAAAGAACCCTGGTGTGTAGCGTTGTACTTTGCAGTTTGAAAATACTGCACTCCCCCCTTCCCACCCAAACTTTGGGTTGCCACACCACACTCTTATCTCGTCCGATTCCCACGCCGAGTTTTCTTTTCTTCATTTACCAACTCTTTTTCACGTCTCCTTTTCTCAGCCTCTCCCAACCACAAAACCCTCTTGCCCCTCTAAGCTTGCAACAGAAAAAAAATCTCACCTTTCAGGCATGCTTGAATCCATATTTATCTAAATTTAATATTTTTTTTTTACTTCAAAATTAGTGAATTTATGGATTGATTTAACGCTGATCCAATTCTATAATTGTATTTTATAGGTTTGTGTTTTGATATTTTTGTGTTTTACACTATGAAAAAAGTGAAAATAGTTTTTGAATTACAACGACAATTTCTTACCACAATTTACCAACAACTTTTCAAAGAACAACAATTGTACAAACAATGCTAAAGAGTGGTTTATTAAAGAACAAACATATCAAATTTCATCAGCATAGAAGATCAAATAGTTGATATTTTCATAAAAAAAAACATTACTTGTTGATGATTTCAAAAATTTTATTGCATAAGAGTTCAACCACATATAGGGCTGTTAGAATAATTCAAAGAATATTTTTAATTTCCAAATAATTAGAAGCTGTTTTAAGTTAGCATTATTCTAATCGGATGGCTTATGGGCAGTGTACGTCATATTTAAACTCTTGTGAATGAAAAATGGCGCAACCATATTTTTTCCCTAAATTTCTATTGGTCATCTCTTCTCTTACACCTGAAGTTCTCATTCTTTACACCACATTTCCAATCAATTGCAAAAAAAATTATTTGTTTCCTATGCAACTTTATCATTATAAATGATTAATGATTTGTATACGGATGGATCAAATTGTTTGGTTGGTTTGATGAAAATCTTGGATTTCAGCTTATTGGTTATGTTTCTTTCATGCATGAAAAAAAGTTTATTTATTTTGGCAATCTCATCGGTACTTAACTTATGCATCTAATGTGAACATTTAGGTATACTGATGTCATCATATCGTTGATCTGATAAAGCTATAGAGTTGATATGAAGTTTACATTTATGTGCGCTTAGATGAAATTGAAGTATTCTGCTGGAATTTTGCTTCGTGAAACTTTTCAATTGGTCCTACATGTGCCAAGTCTCCTAATTTAATGAAACTTGGTGTGCTAAGTACAATTGAAGAGAGATGTTCATTCATTTGAAATGGTTGGACAATTTGGAGTAGCCTATATATCGTAGAATTTGCAACTCTATGTCCACTGACCCAAATTGCATGAATTTGCAAAGTCTGCAAACTGAATGCTTTAGATTTGATACATTGCTGCCCTGTCAAGTTGGGATAACTTTATATGAACTTTTAGGAGGATTGCTGGAGATAAAAATGGGTTGAGATTATTATTTTGTTGTTGGGGATTAGATTTGATCATTGCCGAGAAGGAGGTTGTTAGATTATTCATTCAACATGTGTGGGCATATTCTAAATTTATTAGCTCTGTAGTGTTTGACAAAAAGAGCAAAAGTCTCAAACCGTTTTTAGGAGGAATTTTGGGTCATGATGGAAGTAAAGCGGAGGAGCATCATTTTCCATCTAGTCATATGATCAAATGGAACTTTCGAACAGGATGATGGTGTATCTGTTTTAGGGATATAAAGATAAGTACCTTAAGACTTTCCATGATTGACTATGTTAACTACAATTCACCTTCTATCAAGCTATATACTCTTCGTTGATGAAAACTTCTTTTAAGATATGTTTGGATTTCTTGGTATAAAGCTTATTTAATCAACTTTTCTCCATCATCCACATCTATAATGGACAAGAGTGAGCCTTATCATATACAAGTATGGTAGAAATGTCTCTATTATCATCTATATGCATCAAAAAGAAAGAACCACTTAGGGCACATCTAGAACAAGAATGGGCAGCCTTATTTCATTTACCTGTGGCATGAACAAAAAGAACTTGCTTGAAAGCCAAAAGAAAATCAAAATCATGAGCAACTTGCGATTGGAGCCGCCGAACATCCTTCTTCATAGTAGAACTTAGCAAATGCATGACATTGAGATTGTCTCCTTCCACAATAATGCCTTTGAGCTCATGGGTGTTGGTGGGGTTGCATTTTATTAGGAGTGCAAAAGTTTCTTGAAGGCATTTGTAATATCCATATTGGTGGAGAAGCGTAAGGAATATTTGAGAAACTCAACGAAAAAGTAAGAGGTATGAAAAACATCGTGCGGAAGCCAATTTTCAGGTGGGTGATCTAGTTTAGTTGCATTTAGGCTAAGGATTGCCTCAAGGGAGAAGGGAATACATTGAAGCTAATTTAACATCGAGAATTTTAAATTATCAAGAAGATTGCATGCAATATTTGCAACAGGAGTTTTCATGATGCGTGAGAGTTGTTTTAACTGATAACTACAAAAAACTTGAATTCATTTGAGGTCCCTATTTTTAAATTAGTTTTGCCTAAAATGGATGAAATGTTGATGGAGCATGAGATGCCGTTGAAGTTTGACGCCCTCTCTAAGAAGATTTATCCTCTACAAGTGATGGTTAAAATGAGACTTATCGCCATGGCTAGAAGGGTTAATTATTTAGTGCAACAAAGTGGTATGCTTAGGAGGCTTGAAACACATCATTTCCTATTAGAGAGCTATAGCTTAAAACTCATCCTTCTCTCGTAGAGAGCTATAATTTCTAGAAGTTAGATCCTCCTGAAAAGGGAACCCATGATCTAAAGATTAACTTTAGCATATGATTAATTACATCATCCCTGATTGTAAGTTGGGTATTAAATTGTAGAAAGATGAAGTGAATTGCAATTTAGGTATTAAATTGTAGAAAGATGAAGTGGATTGCCATTGTTAAAATTTTTATGATTTGATCTTATGTTGGAGGCTGCTAATGGCAATGATTCCCACATTGTATCATTGAAGTTGAAGATGAAGTTAAACATGAGCCCATATGTGATGATAGGTTTGATCAAACATTTGACGGCCAAGATCGAAAAGCAAGAAATTTGGATCATTGGAATGGGATATGGGCAACAATATAACGATGAATTTGAAGTTCAAATTTATTTTAGATTACTTCCCTACTAGTTCAAGGCCCTTGCATTTTAGCAAAGGTCGTAGCTCCTAGCTTCTGCTGTGTGTGAACTGAACATGGAGAAAGGAGATCGGGAGAGGAAAAATAGGGAAAGGAGAATGGATTTCGGGAGAAAGGAGAGGAAAATGGTCTAAGGTCGAATAGGAATCCCAAGCATCAATTTTCCTCCCCTTTCTCCCAAAATCCCTTCTCCTCTCCCTATTTTTCCTCTCCCGATCTCTTTTCTCTCTGTTCGGTTCACGCACGATAGAAGCTTGGAGCTGTGACCATTGCTACAGCTACAAACTAGCAAGGTGGCGAGTGACCCATTGGGTGCCGCAACTTGTAATTTAGGGCTCTGGGGCGATTTTTGCAAGTGTGAAACTCTATTTTATGTTATTTGCAATATTCATTTTCTTCCTCTTGTTTTTATTTTGAAATTTGCCTCGTTTTTCATGTATTTTTTTTCCACTGTCTGGCCGTCTATTCCCGTTTTGGTTAACTTTAAGCCCCGGGCCAGTGCGTGACACAGTTATTCTTAAATTGGAGAGTTTTTTTTTAGGAGCATAAATTCAAAAAATGTTTTGCTGTAATTTGCCCATTTTAAAACCTGATTTTTGCACTAAGAATCAATTTCAATGCCCTGATCTCTCTCTCTCTCTCTCTCTCTCTCTAGCTGCTCATCACCCCTATCCCCTTAGAGCTTTCAGTCCTCCTACTATCGATGCAATTCTTTTCCTCCAGGTGCTATTTAGAGCCATGAAGCATTGTCTTGTGCTGTTGAAGGGCCCCCCCTAGTTCTGCTGTTCGAGTGTTGGCCAAAATCTGCGGGAAGGAAAAAAAATGTTGGTTGGTGTTTACAATAAGATAGAGACCAAATTCAACAATCTTCTTGCTGTCCAACTGTTGACCTCATTTTTGTGAGGTCTTGTCTTCTCCTCCTTAGAGCCTAGATTCTAGCTCTAGAAATTCCTAATCGACTATCTTAGAAAACTAGAATTGGGACTCACCTTTCTAGAAATTCCAGTCAATTCCTATTTTCCTTTGATGTCTAGCATCTTTGGCACAAGACCATCGTCTTATGAACGAGCGGTTATGGGCTATTTTGCGAAGATTCGAGGAAAATGTTCCAAATAGGACTTCAAGCGTTAGGAAAACATTCGTCACGACTCTTTCGTCACGTACACACACAAAGTACACGAAGTTCACGAAATTGCGCGAAATCGGACTTCAATTAAGCCCAAAGGACGGGTGAAAATGCGAACTTTTCCGGATGACCTCCGACGACAAAATGGACTGCACCAACGCGTCCGGGATACCAATTTTGGTAGGAAAGGACACCCATATTGCCATACTTTCGACACAAGAAAATTGACACGCAAATCGATGAATTCGCCGAAGCGACCTCTGACGACGAAATGAACTGCGCCGGAGCGTCCGGAATGTCGAAATTACCTA